ACCTGTCTATGACAGTCGAGTGTTGATACTGATAGAAGTGGCGCTACCTGAAACACGAGCATATCAGGACAAAATCGAGAATTCAACCAACCCATTTCATAACCATGTTGCTCTTTCCACCATGTTAAAACGCCTTATGATGGAAGAGGATAACCTCTAACATTTCGTAAGAGCAATAAACCCCAGACAACTACTCAGACCCTCAACTGTACATTCCATACGAATGCAGATGACTTAAACTGAGCAACAGGGAGCGAATTCTATCTGCTTCGGAAAGAAATCATCAGGAACAAAAGGAACAACAACTAACCATAACGAAGATGTGGAAGATCATTGTAGTATCCAATTATTCGAACAGTACGTACGTGATTGACCGTTAGCAAGGCGGTGTTCTGCTTCTCTCAAAATTTAAGGCGCTCTCTTGATTCTTCATGCTCTCTATAACTTTGAGCTTCAACTTCTCTCGTAACTCTTACCTCACATTGCTTAGCTAGGATATCATGTAGTTACTTTCTATCTCGAAGACAGAGATTACTACCGCTCTGCAGTTGTTCTCAACCCATTTCTGAACGAACCAGTCGTTTCTAATATCTCGAAGCACTCCGTGTTCATAATGCTCCCTATTTGATGAAACATACCTGAAGTCCTATTTTCAAAATTAAATTCCATGAACAACCGGGTTGTTTTTCCTCACGTAAAAATGCTTCCCACGTGGCTTATAGTTCACGGATTTCACTGGGTACTTAATTCATCAAAGATCTGAAATGAGTCAGTTGGAGGCGAGAGACGATTAACTTTACCTCTCTCCTTCCCTTATTAGTCATTGATGAAAGCTGGAAAAGTTCAGGTAACATAAGATGAGCACTAAAGCATTGTCTCCCAAGCACTAAAGCGTTGCCTCCCAGTTCAAGCCGTACTGAATGGTCGCGTTCTACATTCATATTGCACAGGAGGGTTGCATTCCATCCTAATCATTCACTTCAATAACTCCGAACAGAACTAGGAAGCAGTGAACACGTCTGGATCGACTGAAAAGATAACGATTAACTGGAAATAGATAACAGTAAAACGTACGATCAACTTCCA